CTTCAGAATGAAGTCCACACTCCTTGGCATTTCCCATGTGACTGTATCTAGTCTCTTCCCACCTCATCAGGCTTTTCTCTTATCTCTCCTAAATGTGTTACTGCTTAAACTATAACCAGGCTGAACTCTGGCACATACTATTGTCTCTCTCTATATTATTTTGCACGTATCTTTCTTTGCCTAAAAATATTCTGCTTCCAATTTTACTCCTGGCTTTGAAAGCCTCTTTTGACAGTGTTGTAGCACTGCAACAAACACCCGAAACAATCAATTTATAGACAGGTTTATTTGGGTTCTCCAATGTGAAAGTTTTAGTCCGTGATCAGTTGGCCCTATTGCTTTGTGCTTAGCAAAAACATCGTGGTGGGAGTGTGTGGCAGAGAACAATTACTAACTACATGGCGGCCAGGAAGCAAAAGAGAAAAAGGAGAGAGGCCTTCAATTGCTAATCCCCAGTGACCTAAAGACCTCCCAGGAGCCCCAACCCCTAAGGCCACACCACTCCCACTAGTGCCATAGCTAGAAACCAAGCCTTTAACACATGAACATTTGGAGGGCACTTATCCAAACTACAGCAAGCTCAGAAAGCTCAGACCTTCTGGTTTTCTTTCCTGATGTGCTTCCTCTGGTCAGCTGTCCCTCTTCTGGGTCTTTATTATTCCTCACAGCTTCTGCCATGACTCTTGACCCTGATCAACCTCTTATATGTGAAATCTTGACTCCTGAATCACTTCTGTCCCTTACCTGGCCCTGTCCTGACTCATAAAATGGTTGTGAGTGAATTAGAACATCTTAGAGAGAATCTTAGCTCTGTGCAAGAATGTCCTCTGCAGAGATAGTGCCCAATCGAATGTCAGCATCCTCTGTCTGTAGGGAGAGTGTGTGTTTTAGTCAGCGTTTTCTCTGTTGTGACTAAAACACCTGCAAAGAACAATTTTAAAGGAAGAAAAGTTTATTTGGGAACTCATAGTTTCATAGGTCTCAGTTCATAGGCAGCTAGCTCCATTCCTCAGAGCCTGAGTTGAGGCAAAACATCACGGCAGAAGAGAGTGGCAGAGGAAAGCAGCTCACATTATGGTCAGAGGAGAGAGAGAGAGAGAGAGAGAGAGAGAGAGAGAGAGAGAGAGAGAGATATTCCAACTACCAGATACAAAATATGTATCCCAAAGGCACACCCCCAATGCCTGCCTCCTTCATCTACACTCTACCTGCCTTCAGTTACCACAGTTAATCCCATCAGGGGATTGATTCATTGATTGGGTTAAGGCTCTCATAGCCCAATCACTTCTCCTCTGAACCTTCTTGCATTGTCTCACACATGAGCTTTTGGGGGACACCTCACATTTAAACCTTAACAATGTAGAAGCTTGTGGATTAGAGACAGAATGAGCAGTACCCCTGGAGGAAGTGCTCCTGGCTCCTTTTGATTATGTAAGGGAAGAGGCATGATAAGATCCCATTATGCTGGGGAAAGTGTGAAAGTATGTAACTAGCCTGCTTTTAAGTGTTTTTTGTTTTTTGTTTTTTTTTTTTTAAAACATACTGGTGGTTGAAGGGCAGGAGGAAAGAATGGTAAGGTGGCACATGTCGGGACAGCTCCCTGGATTGTACTCTAGAAAGCAACGGTGACTGTGAATTAAGAGTGCTCTAGCTTTGCATCCTGAGCATGGACCCTTGTGTCAGCAGCTCTGGGGCCTCAACCCGGCATCCCACTAGACAAGCACTGAAGCACTGTGTGAGGCCAGGACTCGGCAGCAAGGCTAGTAGTAGCTAGAAATGGCAGCAGGGGCTGACAGTACTCCAAAAATCTCCACTTTCCCACTGGACTGATGAATGACCTTGGCATTCTTACACAAATGTTTGGAGGTACCCTGAGGAGGGACATTCCAGATCACCTCCTGGCATATCATATATTATGGTTTAGGCATAAGATGTACCCAATCCCCTAAAAGCTCATGTGTGAGACAATGCAAGAATGCTCAAAGGTGAAAAAACTGGATTATGAAAGAGTTCTTACCTAGTCAATAGATTAATCTATTGACAAGGATTCACTGGGTGATAACTATAGACAGGCAGGGAGTGGCTAGAGAAGGAGGTCATTGGGGATGTGCCTTTGGGGGTTATATTTTGTCCATAGTGAGTCAAGTGCTCTTTTCACTTTCTGTTGTCATGTCCTGAGCTGCCTTCCTCTGCCACACCCTTTTGCCACAATGTTCTGCCTCACTTTGGACCCAGAGCTATGGAGCTGACTGTCTATGGACTGAAACCTCTGAAATTGTAAGCGCCAAATAAACATTTCCTCCTCGAAAATTGTGCTTGTCAGGTCTTTTGGAAAGAAAAAAACAACCCATGGTCCATGGCCCACTAGACCCCTTGCAATTCAGATGCTGTGGTGGGTATCCCCCCTCCCCCCAGCTTAAGTAGTATTCATTGCCTCTTGGTACCATACAGACTCCCATCTCCCTAGAAAGGGCTGCAGGTGAGGTTTGGCTAAACCAAGAGGTCATTCTTGGGTGTCAAAGGACAGACAGTATCTATTTTGTTTTGTTGCATTTTATTTTGTGATAATAATGAGATTATCAGTCTAGAAACGGGTGCTTTCTAAAGTATGGGGTTAGCTATACTCTAAATGGGAGTTACTGTCACCCTACCCAGTCCCACCCCAGCTGCCTGTCCCAGGCCCCTATCAGTTTTATTTTCCACTCTAATTGACCTGTAATGCCATGCCCAAAATGTGGGTATGGGCTCATCTGAGTACACTGCACTCATTATGGGTTACTTTTGCTGCTGCTTTTCCCCTCTCTTATTGGTACCCCCAATATTATACCTAAATCAGTATTTCGTGTAAGTTTTCATGAATAAACCCCAGAAGCAGTGCTTCCCAAGCATTTTCAAACCACACCCACTACTGTTCTCCCACTTTCTCATCTGTATTCACTCCAGCCGGGCAGTAGGTGCAATGATTAGCCATGTCCTCATTCACCCACCACCAGCCCCCACAGTCCTCCCAAGAGGACTGGGTTTCTACAACTGATGATCTAAATGCCATTTGCTATTTTAAATATACACGCTCACTTTCTGGTTCCTCATTTTCCTGGTCCAATGAAGTGATACTTTAGTGGAGATAGAGAGGACCCTGAGACTTGTGCTCCCTGGGCCCTAAGCCTGGGCTGTGACTGATATCTGTGCCATTCTCAGTGCTACCTTGTACCTCTAAAAGTTTTCCAAGGAAAAAGAAGAGAATGGGTGTTTCTGCTGGCCTTTGTGCCTCGCTGGGCAAACAGGAAATGTCCTCCCTGCAGGCTTGCCAAAGGGACAGAATCTGCTCCAGGAGGTGGGAAGATGTGGGTGGGTGGCTGCTTCTTACTGTGTGGCAGTGGTTGAGGGACTGTAGATTGAATGGAGGACTCCAGTTTTCCAAGATCACATCACCTCTAAGTAGCTACCCAACCTAGACAGACTCCCATCTCCCTAGCAGAAACACTTGAGCTCAGAATTTCTCCTTTCAGGAATCTCAGGTGGATCCGGGGACATTCTGCATTGTTAATACAAATACATTTTTGAAAAGCCATTCCTAGAAGACCCAGCCTGGTGACTTGCTTGGTAGGCAGAGGGCAGGGAGGGCATCTTCAGATAAATCCTGCAGAAAACATTAAACAACATCCCCCCCCTTCCCTCCCTCTCTCTGTCTTCCTCCCAGCAAGCAGCAAGAACAGAAGCAATTCTCTTCTAGATTGCCCGGTTGTAAACTCCTCTGGGGCAGCCTGTCTCCTCATGCTGGGTAACTGCTCCTGGGGGCCTCCAGTGGGCTGTACCCACAGTGGGAGTTCAATCAGGACTGAAGGTCGATGGCGCTAGCCCCGTGTGCCTGCCATTCTGGCTACTGTACCACACATGTTCTTCTTTTGTTCTCCACATGTCTCTGGGGTGGTTACAACCGACTTCCTAGTTTCAAAGATCCTTGGCTGGAGCCTTGTGGAAAGGCTGATAGACTGCGACCTCCAAGTTTCCTTTCTTTTTCCATGAAAATCACTTTTCCTTCCAGACACTTAGGCCCCTGCCATCCAATTTACCAGCCCCCCAAACAAATTTTCTCTCCCATGGACCTCTCTGCTACTTCCTTCCACAATACCCCAGGAAAACTAGTCTACATTGTTATTTCCAGGCCAATGATTTCCATAAACTACTCTTACCTTTTAACCTTTAATTTATCTTCTGAAAAAATGGGGGACAGACTTCTTTGCAACAACATTGTCCAATCTCTGTCCTTGTAGATATGGATTAACACTCTGAAAAAAAATATATGGTATGGAAAATTTCAAAATATATCCAAATATAGAGATAGAAGTACAATGAATCCCCATATGCCTAGTACCCAGCTTCAACTGTTATCAATTTATGGCCAATTCTGATTCATCTATACTCTAAATTCTCTCCCCTACAATCACTACCATTGGATTATTTTAAAGCAAATCTAAAACACCATGTCATTTCATCTGAAAATAATTCAATATTTATCCCTAAGAGATAAGGGTTCTATGGAAAAGAAAAACAGACTTAGTGCCATGTAACAACTAAATAGCAAAAAATATTCAGTCATTATTCAAACTTCCCCAGTTTTCTGATCAATGTTCGTAAAACTTGACTTGAGTTCGAATACAAATAAGACCTACACACATTTTATTTAGTTTATATGCCTCTACAGCCCTTTAAAAATCTATTATTTCCCATGGTGTACCCTCCTGCCATGTATTTGTTGGAAAAGTTAAGTTACTTGGCCTGTAAAGTCTCCCTATTCTGGGATTTTCTGATTATTCCCAGTAGTGTGTTGAGTATTCTCAGTTCTACCATCTGTAAAGTGGGGATAGCACATGCCCCATTTACTTCACAGAATTACTGTTCAGATCAGATAAGATCATGTATCTCATAGTGTTCTACTAAACAAAGAAAGGGTTTTTTTTCATAATGCTCTAAACAACAACAACAACTTCACACACCAATGCTTGCATACACATTTATTAAGAAGCAGCCAAGTGAGATGTGTCAGCCCCTCCCCTTGAGTACAAACTTCTTTATTGGTGTGTAATAAGACCCAAGGGTTGGATGCACTACATAATCAAAATCAAATGCCAGCTTTTTACAGACTCAGCCAAAACAGCACAGCCCCAAACACCATTTTAAACTGCATGAAATCTGAGCATTTTGAAGTCTTGTTTTTTTTTATTGTACTCAACTTATATATTTTAATTTTAATGCTCATTGCAGATCCACATAAAAAGGAGCTCTTATTTTAATTAGTAGAAAGCAGAGCTCTCACTGTGAAGGACAATGCACATACAGCTGTTTCATCCATAATTATCTATATAAGAAACATGCTTCCATTCACAGGGGCTCTAATAATGCATGCAATAAGCAGCATGGGGGAGGGGATTCCAGCCAGCATCTTCTCTTTACTCTGGATTCTTATCTTCTTCTGAAAAATGGGGGACCGACTTCTTTGCAACAACATTGTCCAGTCTCTGTCCTTGTAGATATGGATTGACACTCTGAAAAAAAAATATGGTTTGGTATTATATGTGAGCAACAGATATAACTATCTCAAAAAAGAAGTAAATGAGAACTGTTTCTTGCCTATTGGGTTAACAATAAGCTGACAATGATATCTACCACCTACTAAGTGATTATTCCAGTGTACTATTTTATATCTCAGTGGCCTTTGAAACATCATTTGACAGATTATGACATCAAACAACAGTAGTTACTTACCAAATGCAATGTGGTCCTTGAAAAATTTTTTTGGCATAAAAATTGTGGTGGACCAGCTAATAAGCTCTTGCTACTAACTTAGATACCAAGCCCTAGATTTTTTAAAAATTCATTATTTTATGGCCCTACTAAGGTGAAAAAGGGAATATGGAATGCATTCAATTATTGTGCAAGAAGAACATTCTAGGGATTGGTGGGTATCTCAGTGGTAGAGTATGGTATGCTTAGGCCATGGATTTGACCCCCACTCCTCAAAAAAGGATGATTTTTCTAAAGTGGAGGACAGAGTAGGATCAAATGAGAATTGGTATCTGAAAACTGGGCAGAGATCATCCTGTGACTGTGAATGATTTTTCCTTGCCACAGTATATAGTAAGGAAAGGTCATCAGGGCCTCTGGAATCCCTCCCTCAGCAAATTCGAAAGCCAAAAGAAAGAAAGAAACTATGGCTGTATTGACATCTCCTTTATTTTTGGATTCAAGATTCCATACTCTGAAATCTCAATATTCTGAATGAGTCAAGGTTTTCCCATTCTGTCTGTAATACATCTTTTTTTTTGGGGGGGGGGAAGGGGTGGTATTGGATTTGAGCTAACAGTTGGAGCTTTACAACAAAATCTTTAGCAAGCAAATTTCAAATAGTTTGGAAGATATTTGTTTATTGAAGTTGCCTTCCAGTAATGGAACCAAAATATGAGAAAGAAGCTGTGGTTACAAATGATCAGCAATCTCATTGTATGATAAGCCCCATGGACAAATGGAAGCAGTTCACAGGTGAGTCTCTCTTTCCCATGGGAAATGGCCTGCCATTGATGCTCTTGAAAGATAAGCAGACATTCTCCAACAGAAAATAAAAGGAACCTCATTCATAAACATTCTTTCACATTTTGTCTGATAAAATGAATGATCCAACTCACTCTTGCAAAAATGTATCATTAACAAGGTGAGAATTGCAAAGTTAGCAAAGTCCTCATATATTTGAAAAGTGATGTCACAAACAGACAATCATCTCTAAAATACTCTTTAATACTTTTGGGGGATTGTCAACTAGAGCTGTCTGGCCTACCCTAGGGGATAGTATCAGTATCTTGGGGTAAGTGGAACACTGGACTGTAAAAGCACATTCAATATCATATTTTCTACTTAGTAATAGTATTTATTCTGAAAATTGTAACATTTTAAAAGAATATGCGAGGGTCATGTTTATCAAACATGGGATTAAAAAACCAATAAATTGCTTAAATAAGATAAAAAGTAAATATTGAATATTAACAAGATATAGCTTAAGAGTAAAAAAATTTTTCAAAGTCATCTAAAGGTGAATTGATCTTTTTTTTTTTAATGAAACAAATAGAAAGTAAGTAAGTATAAAAGTCACATAAAGCCACCTGGCACTCAGCTGGAACTTCAGGGGACTCCTTCTTGATAAGGGACTTTTGTGGAAAAAAAGTTCCACTGTCCAGACCAAGAAATTTTAAAGGCTGAAGGTAAGGGGAAGAAAATTGAGGGAGGAAAAGGAGTCATCCCTTGAACTTTTGGGATAAATGTTTCACTATTAGGATTAAATCCAACACTTCAGAGTAATAATAATAACAAGCTTTGGTTTGAATTAGGTCCTGAACTCAAGAGCGATTATGTATTTATTTTCTCACTTGGATGAGAGACTAGTTAGGCTACACAGAGAATCTTATTTCCATTTCACAACTGGAAGAGCCATGGGGAATGGATCCTTGCTTGGGCTGTTCTCTGGAAACTCACAGCAGATGCTTAGCTTCACTGGAGCAAGTCTTGATTTTTCAACAAAGCAAGCCCATAATTTCTTCCTATGGATTCATACTCCAGGGAGTGGCGAAGGTCTTCACTCAAAATGGGAACATCTCAAGTTGGGAACCTCCTGATGAGGGGACAGTAGCTTCTGTTTCCCCATCAGTCTGAAGAGGCCCAGGGCTTATGGCATGAGAACGAGTCTTTATAAATGCCTGAGAATAGGAAGAACTTGATACTTTTGGGTCAAAGTGACCCTTATTTTCCTAAATTCTACCCCTTTCCTATGTGGAAGACATTGAGGCCAAAGTAAAATCCGTTATAACATGTGTCTTAGCCAGATTTCTGAGTTTTGGTAATCCCTGCTGTCTTGGAAAAATGACCTAGATTGTGACCCACAGTCATTCACTGAGTCAGGGCTGAAGGAATGGTAGGCCAGGAAGACCAGCCGATTAAAGCTGCATGCTAAGTTATTCATTTTGGGTCAGTCGCTGGTCTTATTTGGAAATGTCCTTGTGCCACGGGGAGATATTCCAGCCATCTTCCTGGTAAATTATGTGTATTCAGAGCTCCTAGAATAGAATTTCTTGATGTTCTCTCAAGAACACATTACACCCTTCCTATCACCAGCTGCCATTGGAAGCTGTAATCACTAAGAAAAACCTCTAATAACCCCGTTAACTCTCCCAACCAAGATGTGTTTCCAGATGTAAGAACTTTCTGCTTCTCACATAGGGAACTGGCTCTTGGTAAGCACAGGGGCTTTAACTGTCTGTTGCAGGAGCCTAAGGATTAATATCGAGGCTGGAAAATCCACACCTCTTAAAGCACTCTCTGACTGATTTTGGCAAAACTATTCAGAATGGCTATAATTAGCACTGTCCAGATTCCCAAATTTTGCCAGGATCCAGGTAACTGTGATTCTGAATAAATGGTCAGTGGCCTGTGGATGTATGGTTTCATTTGTATGTTTTAATTAAAGTGATTAGTATTTTGTAGTACTTTACTATGTAATAATGAGATTTTCCACTTCATCTGATCAGGAAAACAGAGACAAGTGCCCAGGACCTTCTATCTAATAAGGTACAGTGGATTAACAGAATACACAGATAGATCACTTATCATGTCTCCATGCCATAAAATGCAGTGGAAACTTGAAGCAGATTCGGCATTCAGCTTTACACAAGGTGACCACATACAAGTGACTAGGCAGTTGCTAAATGTAGAGCACCCAGACCAAGGTCCCACCTTGGGCAGCCCTGGGATAATTAACAACTGAGCCTGCAGTAAACTCAGCAGTCAGCAAACCAACCCCATAGGTCCAGTGGGTTTTATATCCATCTGGTTAGGCCACAAGAAAAGATATGTGTAAGGAATGAAGTTTGACTCATCTCATCATTTGCTCCCACACTCCTTTTGACTAATGGCTGGAGCATGCAGTTCAACACTTCCTTTTTCTTGCCTTGTGTTTTTACCTAATTGAGGCAGATATGTAAGCAGTCTCCTTCCCTGGCCCATAGACTCTTCAAGGTAAGACAGAGCCTTGGGTTCTCCCTGCATCTCCCACCCAGGTGGGAGGACTACAATGCACATTTCCGGTCTGGATGGGAGGTTATAGGCATTCCACTGAAAACTGTGTGCCTAAGCTGGGGGAAGCCATCCCAGAAGCCAAGGGTGGACTTTCTGGGCATGGCCCTTGTCACGCCGGACCACTGTACTGTTCCTCAGGATTCTGCTACTTTCCAGCAACTGAAGCCTCCAGCTTATCAACTGCCCCATTCAGAATATGCAAGACATCCCGACACCACCCCAGTAGACCATGAGTTACCCTCCGCCTGCGTCTCTGTCCTCCCTTCATCTTCTCGTAGAGGAGTTTCTTGTTCTAGAATGGGGAGAAAAGAAAACATCAATGCCGGAAGTATGGATCAAATTTGGTGAATGTCTGTTTTAAAAGCAATCCTTGGTGTGTGCCCTGGATATTTGCATACACATATTTTGGAAACAAAGCTAGATGAAAGGAATGGCATGTAGAACGATAGACCACAAGAGAAAAGCGGGTGGCTGTGCAGCTTTTCAATAAAGTCCCCTGCAATGCCCTGAGGCACACAGTGTCATCAGCAATCCCATAAACAGGAAAGCGTGACAGTCCAACATACCAGGGCGCTGGAAACCCATCTCCTCACTGTGAACAGCCTTGGATTAAAATAAATAATTTTATCTCGACATCTAACTCCCCTTTTTATGAACTGTGCACATACATAAACTGTTCTCAAGAGCCGTGTCTGACTACTAACATCAAACCCTGTGTAAATAAACGGACGCTGACTTCTGCGGCCATCCTTTCTGTGGCTCCAGTCAGTGGCCCCAGTCAAGACAATCAGAAAGCCATTTGGTCTGTAACATTTTTATAATAGAGTGAACCTTTTAAAAACTGCCAAAAAAACTTCTTGGCAGAAAGCAAAGTTATGTTGGGGCGGGGTGGGGGGGGAGGCTCCGTTACCGCAGTTTGTATAAGTGTTTCCACATATTGCTGTATTTCAAACACACAGTGGACTTAAATGAGCTCTAGAATATCAGACACATGCTTCACAGATTTTCTTCTATTGAGATTATAAAAGACAGAGCACTTGACCTGAAGGCAGAACGGGAGAAGGGGATTTGGGAGTTTCACTTGTGTTGTTTTATTTATTTGGTTTTTCATCAGAAGGGAAATAATGTACAAAAGAGGTGATTCATCTTGCTCTAAGTGAAATACCTTGATATTGACTTTACAAAAAAATAAAAGGAGACGACAGAGTTCTGGAGAGGAACAAGTTGATACAGCGCTTGTATCCTCTGGGCTGTCTGGTTAGAAAGGATTTTTTTAATGGTAGATTTGAAAGTGAAAATGACAAATGCCAAGAATGAGCTTCATCATTTTATGTTCATTAAAATCTACCCCGCCTGCAATTGACAATGCATATTCCTGGCCCAACCTCAGCTATGCAGGGGCTGAGCCAGGAGTGCAGGAGCCTTCACTGCCAAAACCCAAACTGGCTGTGGCCTCTACCGCCTGCTCAGCTGGGGGATGGATCAAGTTAATATCAGAAGGGAGAAAAGACAGACCTGCTGATGGTTCCCTCAAGGCAGGAGGATATTGCAGTGGGGCTCCCTACCGTCTGTGAATGTAAATAACTTATACTGCACAGAAAATGTCCTAGGTGTTCCTTCCAGAGCTAAGGAAGGGAGGCTGTGGGGAAAGCGGGTGAGAACAGGCACCACTGTGTTCGGCTGCCTGAGCTAGAGGGAGCACAGAGGAACCCAGAGCTGGTGTCATAGGGTAGAGTGCCAATCAGCCCTGTCACAGTTCCTCAGGGCCACCATCAGGGTAACTAACACCAGCATTCGTTGAATCTCTTATAGAAGATCTCAGGGCAGATGACACCCACAGAAATGCAGAAGAGCTGGTAAGTCTTCTTCTCAAAGAAGGTGTCTGCATTTCCCTCAGAGCTGGGGTGAGGACTAGCAGGGTATTCTTCCCCAGCCCTGCAGGGAAGTGGCTGGAGCATTTGCCTCTATCTCTGCTATTGTCTGGATTTAACAACAGGGATTGGTAGGTATAGTGTGGGTCAAAATCATATTTTTAAAAAGCTAGATTGGGCACCTGTAATCCCAGTGGCTCAATTTAATGAGGTCCTAAGCAACTTGGTGAGATCCTGTCACAAAATAAAAAATAAAAAGGGTTGGGGATATGGATCAGTGGTTAAATGCCTCCAGGATCAATCCCTGGAACTAAAACCAACCAAACATTAAAAAAAAAAAAAAAAAAAACAGAATGAATGAGAGAAAATCAGGTACCTCTTTTGATACCTATTGGAGAAGAAAGAGAAGAAACCAGTCACACCTTCTGATACCCATTCACTGTGATTCCTTGAGTAGTGGGGAGCCTGCTTTTTATGTGAGTAGTGGGTTTAAGTTCATTAAAAGGGCTTTCCATTGTGCCATCAATATTTTGGACATTTGCTCAGTTCTGGGTTTCAAATTCCATTCCTAAATGAAATGGGGGTTGGAGGGGCTTCTTGAAGAAATATCTGATTCCAGGGTTATGGCAGAGACAGTGTGAGGACAAAGAAAATTGGAATACTTCATTAGGTTAGCAAACAAGGAAACACCCAAGAAAATGACAGAGTCATGTTGGAAAGAAAGAAAAGAAGTCAGCCTGAAGGGACTCCAACTGACCAAATCTAGGACAGTTCAAACATCAAAATTAGCAGTTACAGGAATGCATGCTGATACTAAATAAATAACATACCTATAGACCGATGATAGATAGGTAGGTAGGTAGATAGGTAGATAGATAGATAGATAGATAGATAGATAGATAGATAGATAGATGGATGAAAGACAGACAGACAGAAGGGAAGCAGGGAAAACACTTGCTTAGAGTAGAATGCCAACTAGTAAATTCAGAAAGAATAGGAGAGTAAGAAAAATCACCATTTTGCAACCACCATAGTAATAGCTGATTCTGGGAAGCATCAGCAGTGGATACTAAATTGGTTGGTTAAAATTTGAATGGAGAACAGAATATTTTTACAGTCTAAAAGTATTTTCCCACAGAGTAACTATTCATTTCAAAGTGGAAAATGATGATTTTACACTGGAGAAATGTGGTAGACAACACTTTAGCAAAGTGAACAAAGTTAAAACCACCAATTGTGGGACCAACTGCCATCATGTGCTTCCCTGGTGTAAAGTACATGGATAGCATGCATGACTATGCAGAAGCTAAAAAAGTTTAATAGATGTAGAGAATAGAGTGGCTATCAGAGGTTGGGAAGGGTGTGGGGAGGGGAGGTGGAAAGAAGATGACTAATGGGTTACAGGGGTGCAGTTGGATGGAAGGAATAACTGCTAACATTCTATAGCACAGTAGGATAACCATGGTTGACCAAAATCCATACATATTTTAAAATACCTAGTAGAGAGGATTTTGAATGCCACCAAAGAAATGATTAATGTTTGAGGTGACAGATAAGCCAATTACCCAGATCTGAATCATCACACATTAGATATGTGACTTGAGATGTCCCACTGTACCCTATAAATATGTATAATTATTATGTGTCAAATGGAAAATTTAAAGTACAAGTATGTCTTATACATATGGTCCTAAATTCTAATCTTTGGCTTTGATACCCTGTATAAGCCTGAGACAAACCCCAACTGAGGACATTCAACTTTTCAAACAAGTTGAAATCATGAAGGCCAATGAAAGTCAGGGAGGGTTCTTGACCCTCGTTTGTCCTGTGGCTCAGACTCCAGTCAACTAGTGGAAAAGAGAAGCATTTGCTTTTTGAGACAGCTTTTTCCAAAGTGAAAAATGCTTAGCAGTTAATGTGTAAAAAGAACAGGACTGACATCAGCAGCAGCCAGCCACTGGTCACAGCCCCTCAATGTTGTAGTTACACACGCTGCCTGAAGGGCAACCAGTCCTAGATGGGATCCCTAAAGATTGCTGTGCGGGACACTTTATGAGCGACGAGCCATGAAAATACAGACGGCTTCTCATTGTATTGTATTTACTATTGTATTGTATAATATAATCACTATTATTAGTCACCAGTGTATTCCCATTATCTAACATGGAGCCCAGAAGGCGTCTGATGTGCATTTAATAAATGTGTCTTGTTGCATTAACAATGAGAGAGGCATGCAGGAAACAGGACAGACACTGATTATTTGTAATATGTGAATCACTGCTAAAGATGTAGCTTAGCTCCAGCTAATGTCAAAAACAGGGGCTACTAGCACAAAAAGAAGCAGGGTTTTGTGTTGCAGTTCTACTGTCAAAGATATTTGTTTTATGAACTAAAGGATAGTTGAGCTGAAGACAAGCTTGAGACTACCCTGTATAAGCGAGGAGGCAAGTCTGTGTGGTCCCAGTTTAGATGGGCAAGACAGACTCATTCACACTTCCATGTGGAGGCCAAGCAAGTCCTGTTTTATTGCTGGGTGGTAATTAGAAAATAAACAAGGAAACTTAAGTTCACACAAACACATAATTATAGTTGATAAAAGGTGTTAAACACTGTTCCTGGTCATTGATCTATGATCTTACTTTTGTCTTGTACGTATGGTCCTAAATTCTAATCTTTGGCTCTGATGCAGACAAAGAATGAACATGAAGGAGAGAAAAACAAGTCAGGATTTAGAGAAGGCAGCAAAGAGAATAAGGGAGAGTGATTGGCCTCTTTCTGGGAGTCCATGGAATATGGTGAGAGAAATCTAAAAAGGATTTGAAGAGGAGGTAATGAAAGTTGGAAAGTGGGAAGTTTCCCTCTCTCTCACTCCATCACACCACCCACTAGGCTCTTTGTCCTCACTTGGACCTTCTCTTGGTCTCCTTTCTTCCTTTTGCTCATTTGTGTCTCCCAATTAGGCTGGATACCTTCCCACCTGGGACTTCAGTGCTACCTTCATTAGTGCCTTCACTTCCTTCATGGCTAGCATGTCAATTAGTCACCCTGGACCTCAGACCTGGGTCTTGCTTTACCTTTATCCTCCACCTTTCCCAGAATTTCACCTGGTCATAGGAACACACCTGGGATACGAAGCTAAACAGTGCTAAGCTAAATTTATTTGCATGCCATTCATCTCAACAACAAGATTAATCTTTAAAAAAAAAAAACAGTACCATGTTTTGATGAATATCGTATGCTAAGTACCTAACAGTACTGAAACAAAGCAGGCTCCATAGCTTCTGTTTCCTCCTTGGTGAACCTGGCCCTGGCTTCAGTTTGGCAATACTTTCCTCTCCCTTGTGGATCCCATCCTGGTGCTGTTTCATGACCTTCCACTCTTTCTCTCCCTCTCTCTGCTCCCTTCTTTTGTTCCCTCTCCCTCTCTTCCCCATCTCTTTAAAATGTTTCACTAAAATGCTACAGAAGGAAGGGAGGAAAGGTTCATACTACCCATTTCAAATCGACTTGGCATCTCTCATCTTTCCTCCTCATGCATTTACACCATATAATAATTCTAGTTAGTTTGCCCACTTTGAAATATCATGGATTCTCACCTTCTTCACTGTATTTACAGCCATCACAACTAGAATCACTTCTCCTATTTTTTCTTCCTGTCTGTTGTCTCTTCTCCCTCTATTTTGTCTTTTAATAATGCCACCAGGACAACTTTTATAGAAGGGTCTCATGATTGCAGTATTCTATTCGAGAATCTCCAGATATTTTTTTGTTCAATTCAACATGTACCAACTCCACTAGTAGGCTTGGAGAAGGCTCCAGAAAGCAATTCTCCCTAACAGAACCAGAGAGAGAGAGAGAGAGAGAGAGAGAGAGAGAGAGAGAGAGAGAGAGAGAGAGAGAGAGAGAGAGAAGAAGGAGGAGGAGGAGGAGGAGGAGGAGGAGGAAGAGAGCAACTGGAGAAGAAAATTAACTAGGAGTATTTTTGCTTTGTTGCTTCAATTTGTGAAATGTGTGTATGTTGAAGGCAGAGGGAACTATTTCCATGCAAGGTTGAAGCAAGATGCTGGAAGAAATGCAAGCAGTCATTAACCAGGAGGGATTTCTTTTAGTAAAACGCTACAGAAGGAAGGGAGGGAGTTAAGGTTTGAAATCTCTCAAAAGGCTAACGACTTTGCTTCCCAATGAAGTAGGAAGCAAAGTCATTAGCCAGTAATGAGCTGAAAGTGAATCGAGGACTTAGAAGGGCTTAGGCAATTTGGAAATCTGCCCACACACTCATTCATTCCCTTGTTCTATAGAAGTACTGACCACTTGACTATTATATGTGAGTTGACTCTGTTAATTGTTCCCCACTGTCCTCACAGGACTTGGGCATTTGATTGCATCAGCCCAGTCACAGGAACCTAGACAGGTCCCCGTGCAGTTTTACACGTGTGTGCAGCAATATTCCAGCCTGTTGGGATCTCCTTGAATCCCAACTTTGTCATCCAGGGTTAACGTTTACAACTTAGTGTCATCCTCTGAGGATCTAATAAGTGCATGTTCTATATTTTTATTTCAAATATTGGTTAAAAAATATGGAGTGGGGTAGTGCTAAGACATGCAGGATACCATGTAAAAATCCCCTTCCATCCTGACAAGGATTCTCTAACAAGCTCCCTCTGTTGCCTAGGCTGCATCGCTCCACCTCTTCCAATGTGAGATCATCCATGATCTTGTCAAATACTTCACTGATGTCCAAGTACAGCGTGTCCACTTCACATCCCTCATCAAGCTGGAAAGTACGTGAAGGGTGCTGGCAAACAGAAGAGTGTGGCCACATTGACAGGACTTGTTTTTAGCACCCCGGTACCAAGGGCTCATGATTTCTCTTTCAAAAGTGTTTATAAACAACTCCCTTAATCGACAGCAATACATACTTACTGGTGACTGGCACCAACCATGCTCACTGCTACAATGGGACTTTCTCTTTCCATAAGGCTTACGTATGTCTGTTTCAAAGCTTGGACATCTTTTTCTCTTGATTCTGCAGAGATTATCTCTTAGTTTAAAGATCAAATTTGCAAGTTTTATAAGCACCTTTTTTTTTGACAAAATTCTGTGAGTGGCCTGAAATACTGATGAAGCCCAAAAATGTGTTAGGATGTGGACTGTGGAGAAGATCCAAGAAGCAGCCTCTGGAGATTACAGCTGATGTGATCTGTTTTGGTTGCTGACTCTTTGGATGGATTTGATATGTTGCTCCTAGACACATGAGTGTGATTTGGAATGATAATCAATTAAAGTCCCTCTCAACCAGAGATTTCTAAAAAAAAATTTTTGCTTTTAAACAAGTATTCTTATTTCCTTCTATCCATATTGCTCATCTCTGCCATCAGTACCTTTGGAGTACCAGAACACAAAATCTACTAGCAGCTGAGACTCAACTTACCCACTTGCCCAGGCCTGGGTAATCGTGTTCCGGATCAAAAAGGTGCTGATGCAACTGGAATTCCCGACTGAACTCTGCGGTGTCAGGGGTGTTTTCTAGACATCCATCATCTACTGCAAACAGCCAAAGGTTTTGAGGAAGGGCCACAACATTTATTGTTATCCTAAGAGTTAATTCATCAAAAATATCTAGACATGCAAAGGTCAGAATCTATTTATATCATCAGTTATTCTAAGTTACTTTCCCCCGGTATCTAGTCTCCCTATTGGATGGGGACTACTTATCCCACATTTCTACTCCTATGGTAGAGATCTGTTGGCTGTTCATCAAAAAGACTTCCCTTCCCTCCTCAGCACATAACTAGGCTAATTTTCTCGTCTTGCTTTGCAATCAGGTGAAGTCATATACTTGAGTTGGGGGCCAATAGATAGAATATGGGCAGAAGTGATATATTCCACTTCCAGACCTGGCCCATAAGAACCTCCTGCAATGCCCTATTCAATCCTCCCACCATCTGTGGGTCTGCACACTGCATGTTGCTGAACAGGGCAATTGTGGGTGTCAAGTGTAAAGATGGCCGTCTGGGGTGCTGAACCATCCACCCCCACCACACCCTCACCCTCCTCTGGCAGAACTTCACATGAGTGAGAAATAAATTTCTATTATGTTGAGTCACTAACATTTTTTAATCTTTTATAGAGCTAAATATTTCCTTAACTAATACACTTTCATTCATCATGACTCACTGTTTTGTCTTGAGTGAGCTCTTTAGAAACACTTTAGCATCTTTGAGAAAGTATTGCATACAATAGCAGCGACAATCCTCAGACAGTGCCGGGTTGTGAGTACAGTAGAAATGGCTGACAATTTAGAGTCCCTCAGATCAGAGCTCAAGGATCAAATCCCAGCTCATAAGACCCAGATGGGTTTAGTTCCTTGGGAAAGTCAACCTAGCCTCTCTAAGTCTATGTATTCATTTGTGAGGTACAAGTAATCAACTTCTTACCTTACAGAGTTGCTGTGAGGATGATCATTTATTGATCACTTATGGAAAAGCACATAATAGTTTTGTAATATGTTTTAGTTCCCTCTCCCACCATCTCCCTTTAAATGGCAGTTCATTCTGTGATTGCTCTTCCAAATAAAGCATCTCCTCCATTCAAATAAAATTTAAAAGTTTATCCCTCCTGGCTGCTGCTTTTTCCTACATTCTAACATTACTAGGCATGATGTTCTTAAAGTGAATTATTTTTTCAATCTCTACTGGACTTTAGACAACGGCTTTAAAAAGGGGGACGGGGGACGGGGGGCTGGGGATGTGGCTCAAGCATTTGCCTGGCATGCGCAGGACGCTGGGTTGGATCCTCAGCACCACATAAAAATAAAAAAATAAAGATGTGTGTCCACCGAAAACTAAAAAAATAAATATTAAAAAATTATCTCTTGGTTGGGGATGTGGCTCAAGCGGTAGCGCGCTTGCCTGGCATGCATGCGAACCGAGTTCAATCCTCAGCACCACATACAAAACAAAGATGTTGTGTCCGCCAATAAGTAAAAAATAAATATTGAAAAATTCTCTCTCTCTCTGTCTCTCTCCCTCTCTCACTGTATCTTTAAAAAAATTCTCTCTCTCTCTCTCTCTTTAAAATAAAAAAAAAGGGACGGGAGGGGCTGAATTTTGTTCAGGGTTAGAAGAGGAAAGAAGATTGCTTTTCAAAAGTCAATACTGAGAGGGGTCTACTTACAATTTGCCAGGTTGTCTAGCTTCTAGGACAGATTGTAAGCCTTCTAGCAATTTTAAGCATGCAGTTTCTCAGCTCTAGCAGCACGAAGCTGGTATGAAAGTCACCTTCTGAACAAATGCGTAGTGCACCTGTACTGGGACAGTCCTCTCTGTACTGAGCTATTTCTAACGTCTTTATCTATGGCAATTAACATGTAGGGAAGGGGAGCAGAGAGCTCAGGTGGTCTGCCGGTGGCAGCTTGACACCCTTTTCATAATTGTTTCTCAAGTACCTGTGAGTAGGCAGAGACTGAGATACAGAGATAGAGACCTGCTCTGGGAAGATCTGGGGCCTGAAAATGTGCCTCAGAATCCACATTCTACCCTTGAGGCTGGAGCCCTGCTGCTCTTGGCCTGTGGCTCAGAGGTGAGCAGGCAGGGGAGAGGGAGTAGAGGTTTCCCTCTTGGGCTGCTCACCCATGCTGTGCTGTGCTGTGCATGATTCTCTGTGAGGCAGATCTCAAGCAATTTCTCACAAATAATGGTGACACTTAGCAAGTGATTTCCCTTTAAGCTGCAAACTGTGATTGAACAAATGGTGTGAATATGTTATCTTAATGGAAGGATAGCAAAGTCAGTGGCAGATAATCCCAGACAAGAAGTCTGGAGTTGGGGTTTTATCCACCTCTATCTGCTCACTTTGAATGCTCTTGTCTCAGAGTCCTAGATATACATAACTAGTGCTCGATTACATGGGTCTTTATCTTCCTTTTGTCAAGATAACTTACAACTACATTGTATGCTTCTTTATTTATTTTGCTGCCCTAGGGATCAAATCCAGGGCTTCTGTGCTTGTTAGGCAAGTGCTCTGCCACTGAGCCACATCCCCAGTCTATACTATATGATTCTTTAAGGCTTTGGCTGTGTCATCCTTTCACAAATGGAGAGGCTTAAGGAAGTGAGTGACATGCTGTAATTGACATTAGAACTCGGACCTCTTGGCTCAAACTGTGGGTCCCTTCCCATTCTCTTATAAAGCAGGTCTCAAACTCCAGTGTACGCCACAATCATAAGGCTCCAGCCCCAGAGTCTCTGAGTTAATAAGTCTGGGGGTAGGGCCTGAGAATTTGCATTTCTTATAAGATCCCAGGTGATGATCATGCTGCTGGTCCCAGAAGCCCACTTGAAGAACCACTGTACTACAATATAGCTAATCAATTTACCCAGACCCTTGGAGACATGGCTCTTCTCCAAAACTCACACTGGTCTTTCTTCCTACCCACCCAAAGCCCTGGAGGCAAATAAAAGAGAGATTAAGTGGTTGAAGCCAGGCTGTGATTCTGGTTTTCCTGCCTTCCCAGGCATCAGCTCCATTTTGCTCAGACACATTCAACTACTTTGGTTGTTCCATCCCAAGATGGAAGCTCTGTGCCCCAGGGAAGACAAGGCCTCAACTTAAATGATAAAAGGAGCAATTCATCTCAGGGAGAGCCTGTATTGTAGATGGTGTTAGAATTTCCAGTTTCCTCCCCAAGCCTCTACTTTCCATGGGAACCCAAGGGTATGTCCATTACCTGTTTTTCCAACGGGACAGGGGTTTGGGGGGTCTGGATAGCCTTGATCCTCACTGAAGTCCTTAGGAATGTTGTCACCAGTCAACTCTGCCACAATGTTGGGGATGTTGCCAAAAGGACCCAAGTGCTGCAGACCTTCATGAGCTCCACCTGGAAAGGAATCAGAGGTTCATTGCAGTGCAATTAAATTCATTTTTAGCTACTATTAATTCAGGCATATCATACAGGCAAGATGCTGTGCTCTATGCTGTGGGGAAAGAAAAATAAATAAAACAGTTCCTGCCCTAGAGGGAAGTTTAGATGTTTAGAAATTTAGGTGCAGAAACAGATTTTATATTTATATCATATATATATATATATATAATTTCAGCATAAGACAGATTACACATGAGCTATGATAGAAATGTGAATACAGCACATGGACTAAGGAAAGGGAGAGTTTCACTTGGCTGGCGTGATGGGAGGGCTTCTTGGATGAGTTCGCATTTGCATGGCACCTATGGGAAGGACTCTGGAAGCAGGGCATGGATCGGTTTGAGGGTAGGGGCAGAAAGGGAGGAGGTTACTGAAAGAAGATTATGAAAAAAAAGGTGAAGAAAAAAGTCACCTCTCATCCTGCCATTCTGGCTCCATCCACTTAAATTTTGAGGTATTTATTCTGATCTTTCATTTCCTCCTCAGCATGTCTTTTTACACATAAAGCTTTACTCATTTTTATTTCATATTAAAGCACAAGCACCCTTCCGTTGTCTGCCTGGGTTCTATTCCTGTAATTATGAATGACTATGTAGTTTTTTTTATCCAATCGCTGTACCATGACGTATTAACTATTCCCTTATTGTGAGACGTTTAGTGTTTCCCAGTTTGTTTTAGGCATTTAATTTTTTCCATATTTTGGATTAATTTTCCTCAGGATAAATTCCCAGAAGTCTAATTACCGGGTCAAAGGCTATAAACATTTTTATGGCTCATGATATTGTAATGCCAAATGTTTTCCCAAAAAAGAGGTACTAATTAATGAAATTCATCAACAAAAAATGAGAATACCATTTTAGAACATCCTTACTAACCATTGGGATTTATAAAAATAATTTTTTAAACTTCCTCTGCTAATTTTAATTTAGAAAAATTTAAATGTCTTTTGATTTTTCAGCTCAGTCAAATATTTGCCATGTTTATCTGCTAGTTTTGATTTCTTATTTATGACTTGTCTGTTTATGGTCTTGGAATTAAAATGTTTATCTTATCAATTTGTTCAAGCATTCTACATGATAAAGATATCAGGCCTTTGGCCATCACAGCTTTGGCAAATATTTTCCCATGTTGTCTGACTTTGAATTCTAGTCATTATTACAATACTTTACCAACATAAGTTTTTAATATTTGTTTAGTCAGACTTGTTTTTATTCTCCTTTGTGATTTCTTCTTGTGCTTCTAAACTTGCAAAGTTGTTGTCCCTCCAGAGGTACTACCAACATTGGGATATTGCTTTTAGCTTTTCTATTTTTTAAATTGACTCTTTAATACATATGTTATTTATTTTGGTGTATGTAAAACAGTTAACCTATTATCCCACCAGCATTTGTTTAAAAAAAAAATTCTGTCATTTCCCATTTATTTTATGCCTCCCACAAACTTCTAAGTGCTTCATACCAAAACCTTCTCAGAACCCAGGGCCCATCAGAGAATAAGAACAACTTACACTGATTGCATAACTTGCTTTACTGTATATGTGCAAATGCATATCAATTTCTGGACACTTTCTTGTAGCCCCTACATTTTATAAGTTTCAGGAAGTTTCCTTTTCCATCAGACAGCAGACCATTTCTTGAAAGAACTTCATATTTCTCAGTTTTATTTAGGCCCAGGAACCCCTCACAGCTGCTTTAGTGTATAGTACCCTGTACACAGACTCATACAAGGGACCACGACTCAGAATCAAAGATGACTTGGCAAGCCTGAAATTAGAGCTCCACCTTCCACCTCCACAAGATAATCTTGCCAACTGGCCAGATTACCTGAGTTCAGCTGGATGGACTTCTCTTTCTCCCTGGATGAACGCAGTAGCTTGCTCTTGTTATTTTGGGCTCAACCAACTCTACTTTGGATTGACACATTTCTTTCTTTGGGAATGTAAACATATTCAGTAAGATCATGTCTGGCTCCATGTCTTGGGAGTCATACTATCTCTATAAAGTTACTTTCATCATTCAATCTCCATTTATTATGTTTGATTTGAGGTTTAACTTTAAAAAGGCAATCTTATCTCCAGTAATTCCTCCTAGCTCTCAAATTCACAAATCACCAATCATCTGGGTTGTTGATATCATTCATGTTTATATTTCATTGCTTTGCAATGAGAGTGGGTAGCCTGCAGAATTTTTACATTTGAAAAAATGTATTTGTTTTGCAGACTACTATATTATATTTTTGTATATTTTCCATGTGCTAGAATAAGGTATTTTATATAACTCATAAATGTCAAAAAATAGTGAATTATTCAACATTTTAAGTGTATTCTTTATGTTCTTCCTTATATTTTATCATAATCTGATGGCAATATGTTAAAATCTACGAATACTACTATTTATCTGCCAATCTCTTATTACTGTTTTCATTTTATCACTTTGATGCTATGTTAGTTGGCATGTCCAAGGATATAAATTCTTCATTTTAACTACATTAGTAATTGGCTATTAAATAAAAATTAATGCATAAAGCATACTTTCATTCATATTTCCCCTATTAGCCTGCTACTTTTTATTCCATTGGTTTGTCATCTCTTTATTTTAACCTTTCTGTGTCTTTCTAATGGTTGATCCAATTCATGCTGTGGTAGCTGCTTGCAGAGGTACTCTGGACATATGTAATTATTATTCCACATTAACTCAAAAGTTGCAAGGATTAAGCAGACATATCAGTATACTTGGTATTGATATATTTGAAGCTTTGTATAATCTTGGCGCTGCCACTGTGCTTGCTATAGGGCATGCTCTCGCTGTGTCAATACATGTTTCAACTTTTGAAAGCACCCTAGCATTAGGTGCCAGGAATTATCCAACTTGGCTCAAAGGTGAATGCATGTCTTAATGCCCCATTAGTAATTAATGAAGGAAGCAAACACAGTCTCCCTTATGAAAGGCCTGCCAAGGCTCTGTTTACCTGTGTGCACCAGAGCCATTAAAATGAATGCCACGCTTGTTATGGAGCAACAGATGTTTAGAACCAGGCAGATATATTAGAACACAAGCTCTTTTCAAACTGCACTTAATGACATCAAATGAAAACAAAGTTGCTGGGGTAGGAACTGTGGGAGATGTGTAGAAGTTAAAAAAAAAAAAAGTTGCCCTTTGCACTTAGGACCTGGAGTTTTATAGACAAGTAAGCACTTATGGAAAATAACTTGAAAATCACCTGGTTGCAGACCCATAAAATGCTAGTTGTCTGGTTCATTATAATGTTTGAATATTATTGATCTATTAGCTGAAGCCACGTCAATCAAAATGTTATGGTGCTACGAATGATGTTTGGTCCACTCACTTCAATCTTCTTCACTATCTTACATCCAGATGCATTTTAAAATTATTAACTAATCAATTTTAAAAATATTTATTGAGTATATTCTATAAATCAAGACTTGGACTAAGTACAGGAGGGTCAGTGATGAACCATTCTCATGTGGACCCTGCTTTCATTAGTCTATAGTTTATAGTGATACAAAAAGAAACAAACATTTAATGCATTCTGCTGTCATGTATAACTAACTAGAACAAATTTTTAAAAAATAAAAATAAAAGATAATTGTTTTGAAAATAAAGAAAAGAAAGAGACACTTGTAATGCACTTATACTGGAAGCAGGATACAGCAGATGTCACAGCTGTATAGAGAGAATAATCTAGTCCTTCTCTAAGGCCTGGAAGACTTCTTGCTGGAAGAAACATATCAGTTATTTTGCTAAAGTTATAGAAGATAAAAATATGACAGATCTGGTTTCTATTCTCTAGATGATGCTGTAGTCTAGATGGTTAATTAAGACTAACACAATAAACCAGTGGTGTGTAATAAGATATACTCCCCAGTACAATTAACCATGGTGTAGACAATGCATAGTAGTATAGCAACTGACCACTGTACAAAATAGGTTGGAAGGAAATTAAGAAGGCCTACTCTAAAACTGTTGCTCAAATGCAGGAGTGTAGTGACAGGGATTGGGCATAGTGGCCACAGTAGCCATACACATAACACAGGTGAGTCAAAAGTCTGTGAAGATGCCAGAGTCTACAGGTCTGCTGATCTGAGAAAATAACACCATTGCTAAAGACAGGATCTTTCAACTACAGCTTTGAAATTATTTCAGGTAATTAATTCTACCCTGTGATGATGTGTTATTTATCTGTTGCCACTACAGCCACAGCAATCTACAAATATCTCTAAAGTGAATGGAAAATACCTAATTTTTGTCAAATGAATTTTGTCAAATGAAGTTTGGTTTACTTATGCTTTATGTGATAAAATTGGTATCAGGAAGCTGATTATTTCTAAACTCTAGATATTGATTTATTGATAGATTTTGCTTATATCATCATGGCAACAAAGTTGTACTCAATTGTGATGCACAGGAGCAACTGTAGGAAGAAGGAAAAGGATACTTGAATCCCTCTGATCTGGGTTGGAGCCCTTAAATCTCTTTCTTGGAGTGTGCTAGAACACTCCATAAAAGTCTGCTAAGATTTCACCCACACCTGACTCCCTTCTGCATCCCCATCCGCTGTTTTGTGCCTTTCTCCCTCTCCTGCATATGCTTTTTAGGTTGATGATCCAGCCAGGCAGCTGACCTTGTTGGTGTCAGTCTCTCCCTAGCCTCGGTTCTCTGATGGACCTCAGCTCCTTCTCTGCCACTCATGAACTGGTCGGGTCCCAGCATGACTCCCAGCAGAAGTTTTAAGGACACTAGTTGGAATTCAGCACCTTCCACTCTCACTTATTCAGAGCAGGGCATGCATCTTTCTGGTTAATTAAAACTCCTTTCAGTTTCAGATCCACTTTCCTGCTTTAGTGACTTTGAACAGTTGCAATGTCTAGTAAATAAAAACGTGAAAAGTTAATACCAGAAAACACCAAGATTTTTACTTAACTCTGAACAGCCATG